GGTATTTTACCAAGCTGTTGACAGGTATTTTACCATACTGATGGCAGGTATTTTACCAAGCTGTTGACAGGTATTTTACCATGGTGATGACAGGTATTTTACCAAGCTGTTGACAGGTATTTTACCATGGTGATGACAGGTATTTTACCAAGCTGTTGACAGGTATTTTACCAAGCTGATGACAGGTATTTTACCAAGCTGTTGGCAGGTATTTTACCAAGCTGTTGACAGGTATTTTACCATGGTGATGACAGGTATTTTACCAAGCTGTTGACAGGTATTTTACCATGGTGATGACAGGTATTTTACCAAGCTGTTGACAGGTATTTTACCATGGTGATGACAGGTATATGTAGCTATAGGGTATTTAAAATGAAAATCAGCATCAGTTTTTTAAAATTTTCTTTTACTTTCAAAATTTTACAATAATTGGGAAAATGTTTGGTAATATTTTTTTTAAAAGATATTCTTGTTTTTCACTTTAGTTGGGGAATTTACACACTTTTAAGCAAGGTGAAACAATTTGTTTGGCAGTAAAATTGGGCATAAAATGCACTTGTCAGTGTTTGTTTTATTTTTTCTAGAAGTTTTCACAATGTCTGAAAGCAAGAACAAAGAAACTATGTTAAGATATTCCAGTTAGATCCATATTCTGCTTTGATTGAAATTAAGCTAACTGCAAGTCCAGACATAGACTTTAGTTTCACACAGAAATGAAAATCTGATTAAATCAGTCAGTGAAACAAAAATGTTTGGTAGTGTAGTTCTTTAAATATATTCTTGATTTTCACTTTATTTGGGGAAATAACACACTTTTAAACAAGTGAAACAGTTTGTTTGGCCTGTAGTGACCTCTTTCTGGTGATGAAAAATCTTCTTCTCTGGAATTTGAAAAAAAAAAAAAAATAAATAAAAAAAATGATGATCCGAGTGGTAGACTTGAATGAAATGTCATAACTAAATCAACATTATGTACTTAGTTTACATGGAGTTTAATTTGACAAGCACTTATAATGGTAAAGTGTTCTTTTACATATGCTTGCTCATTGTGTTTGATTCACTTCAAGTTTTACTAAATAATCATAACCTGGAAAAAATCTGTCAGAATAAATCTGGTTTTTAGTTTCTAGTCAGTTGGTGACTGATCCTTTTATTAAAAAGAGTTTGTTTAGAGACTCTAGTCAGCATCTGTAGTACAGTATAGGTCTCAGTGATATTGTTGATACTAGACATACAAACACTGACATTATGTTATTGTTGTCAAAAGTTCAACAGTTGGTGGGAACTCTGCGATGGCGTGTGAAGTATGTGGCAAATCCAATGCATTAATGTAATAGAGTACATCATTTCGTCATTCCGTTCCTGGACGACAGATGGCTCACTCCAGTCGGCAACATGTCATTAATCTGTTCTGTAAATGCACCAAAGCTCAAGTGGCACTTCCTGCAGAATTATGATTTGCCTGTCAAGCTGAAATTAGGAATCTGTCAATCTTAGGCAAGTTTTTTTTGGCAAATGCATGAGTTGAACATGTCCCACATGGACCATGCACAAGTCCATCACAGCATATTTGTGTTTTACGTAGGATGTCAACTTAGTGATTTGAATGCAAGACATTGTTTGAGTAATGCATGGAATATTTTGAGTCTTGCTTGGGTGATTTAGTTGTTATGATATTAGAATCTTGTATTCAATGATATAATGACACAACATACAAATACTAATAGGCAATATGGGGATTTCCCCAATGCTATGGTAATAACACTAGAGGGCTTGATAGCTCTGACAGCAGAGTGTCCATTTAATGAATTGTCTGATACTACTTCGGGGTTTCCTTGTTTGCAAGACTTTACCCCAATGGTTTTGGACAGCATGTGGTGGACTTCCTGCATTGTGTTCAGTGAGGTAGCTAAGAACTTCTACAAGGAGGCCTTTGTTCCAAAATTAGCCACACTGTTGATGGGGAGATAAACCTAGCAGTTAATTATTGGTGTTTTTGTTGGGGAAGACGGAGCTCTGGGACAGTACTAGTGACAGAAGGTTCATACAGTTCCCTATTGTATATGACAAGTATCAAACAAGCAATTTTCACTTGGACATTTTATTTGACAAACATATTTGATAAATAATTAGTTAATTCATAAATGATTTACCAGGGACATGCTTTATTGTACAATATACTGGATTAAAATTCAATTGTTGGGGGAAAAAGTGTTTAAAGTTTCTTTCCAAATTCTTTAAAACTTCAATACTGTCTGCAAAATATTTGCCATTATAGAGATTCCTGCTGCAGTTAAACAATGTACATTCTGAGAAAAGCCTGAGACTTCCAAGAAATTTATTGGCGTTGCTGTTGTAAAACTAAGTGTGTCGATATTTACTGAGTGGTTCAGTAGTATGTTCTACAGTCTAATACAGAATATTTGATGGAACATCCTAGAAACAGAACTCTCTGTAATGATAAAACTTAAAATTCCATGGAGTCTACAGCATAGTATTGTTGGCAGGTTCGCTCCCGTTCATAGCTGTGTCAATATGGACAGCTTTCCAAGTCAGCAAAACACTATGATAACGTGCCAGAAAGATATTGCCCCATCAACAGAATAAGTATGTGGTTTAGAAGGCAGTATAAGAAGGTTCAATTAATTGAAAATATTCCATGTCTATCTGTGGTTAGGCCTTCATATATATATCACTATATATCCTAAATTCTGATTCCTAAACTTTGTACCATCAGATGTACAGCACACGGTATACAGAAGTATGTAAGACTGTGGTATATTGACTATGAGGAGAGTGACGGTGTACTGAAGTGATGCCAGGGCTGTAAGTGACTGTGATATATTGACTGTATGAGGAGAGAGACAGTGTACTGAAGTGATGCCAGGGCTGTAAGTTACTGTATGAGGAGAGTGACGGTGTACTGAAGTGATGTCAGTGCTGTAAGACTGTGGTATATTGACTGTATGAGGAGAGTGACGGTGTACTGAAGTGATGTCAGTGCTGTAAGACTGTGGTATATTGACTGTATGAGGAGAGTGACGGTGTACTGAAGTGATGTCAGTGCTGTAAGACTGTGGTATATTGACTATGAGGAGAGTGACGGTACTGAAGTGGTGATAGGGCTGTAAGTGACTGTATGAGGAGAGTGACGGTGTACTGAAGTGATGTCAGTGCTGTAAGACTGTGGTATATTGACTGTATGAGGAGAGTGACGGTGTACTGAAGTGATGTCAGGGCTGTAAGACTGTGGTATATTGACTGTATGAGGAGAGTGACGGTGTACTGAAGTGATGTCAGGGCTGTAAGACTGTGGTATATTGACTGTATGAGGAGAGTGACGGTGTACTGAAGTGATGTCAGTGCTGTAAGACTGTGGTATATTGACTATGAGGAGAGTGACGGTGTACTGAAGTGATGTCAGTGCTGTAAGACTGTGGTATATTGACTATGAGGAGAGTGACGGTGTACTGAAGTGGTGATAGGGCTGTAAGTGACTGTATGAGGAGAGTGACGGTGTACTGAAGTGATGCCAGGGCTGTAAGTGACTGTGATATATTGACTGTATGAGGAGAGAGACAGTGTACTGAAGTGATGCCAGGGCTGTAAGTTACTGTATGAGGAGAGTGACGGTGTACTGAAGTGATGTCAGTGCTGTAAGACTGTGGTATATTGACTGTATGAGGAGAGTGACGGTGTACTGAAGTGATGTCAGTGCTGTAAGACTGTGGTATATTGACTGTATGAGGAGAGTGACGGTGTACTGAAGTGATGTCAGTGCTGTAAGACTGTGGTATATTGACTATGAGGAGAGTGACGGTGTACTGAAGTGGTGATAGGGCTGTAAGTGACTGTATGAGGAGAGTGACGGTGTACTGAAGTGATGTCAGTGCTGTAAGACTGTGGTATATTGACTGTATGAGGAGAGTGACGGTGTACTGAAGTGATGTCAGGGCTGTAAGACTGTGGTATATTGACTGTATGAGGAGAGTGACGGTGTACTGAAGTGATGTCAGGGCTGTAAGACTGTGGTATATTGACTGTATGAGGAGAGTGACGGTGTACTGAAGTGATGTCAGTGCTGTAAGACTGTGGTATATTGACTATGAGGAGAGTGACGGTGTACTGAAGTGATGTCAGTGCTGTAAGACTGTGGTATATTGACTATGAGGAGAGTGACGGTGTACTGAAGTGGTGATAGGGCTGTGAGACTGATATATTGACTATGAGGAGAGTGACGGTGTACTGAAGTGATGTCAGTGCTGTAAGACTGTGGTATATTGACTGTATGAGGAGAGTGACGGTGTACTGAAGTGATGTCAGGGCTGTAAGACTGTGGTATATTGACTGTATGAGGAGAGTGACGGTGTACTGAAGTGATGTCAGGGCTGTAAGACTGTGGTATATTGACTGTATGAGGAGAGTGACGGTGTACTGAAGTGATGTCAGGGCTGTAAGACTGTGGTATATTGACTGTATGAGGAGAGTGACGGTGTACTGAAGTGATGTCAGTGCTGTAAGACTGTGGTATATTGACTATGAGGAGAGTGACGGTGTACTGAAGTGGTGATAGGGCTGTGAGACTGATATATTGACTATACAGCTAAGTAGGTACAATGACTATACACCACAGTATGAGGTGCGGTGACTCCAACATTAGAAGTGTTACATACATGTATAGTACTACACTATATACACTCCCATTGTAGTAACAGCATTATCTATATGTGATTCATTTCCTGTTCCCCTGGCAACTGGGATATCACTCAAGCCTCTGACTGGTGGACCAATGGAGAAAGTGGGGGATTCCCACATGTGTGGGACACTATATCACTGTAGGTCTTACTACTGTGTGTAACTAGCTCTCTCTGTCCAAACTCAGCATCAGTTACATGGCTCACACAGTTGATCAATGTGGGTCGCATTAGACTAGTGTATTGGGACAGAGTTGGCAGTCACACCAGACAGACTGTTTACAAGTGTTTGTCTCAGTGCTTTAGGCTTATTACTGCGACAGGGAATGGGCTACAAGTCCCAAGAACCCAACAGTGTTCATGTGTCGTCATAGCTATGTGGTGTTGGGAAATATTCTTCTGGAAAAATGATCTAATTGTCGGAATCAATACTCAACTCCTCGGAATAATGTCAAAATGATATGGAGGAAATAGAAGTGTTTTCATGCAAGCCATCCAGTACTGGAGAAAATGTTAAACTCTTCCTGGAGGAAGAGGAGTGTTATCCTTTTGACTGTGGTGAGGTGGTCGGAATTGACATCCCTGAGTAAGTATACACATCTATAAATCAAGGTCAGACATATTGACCTCAAGTGACCCGTGTCTGGTCACTTCATTCAAACCCACATGGTCATGTGGCTGTGTTTACATCAGCCATTCTCGTCTCAATATGGTGACTTGATATAAGAGTACTGATGTGTGATATTTAATGTGTTTGCTGTATTATCATCCTGTTTGATGTGACAATCAAATGTCAAGCCAGTTTGACATCTTGTGGTCATCCTTGTGGTCATTTGATGGTCACCATCAGTTAAGGCCATTTTGGACATCTTTCATTCTGGTCAATGTCCTTAGTTTATATGGTCAAGTTCTGTACAACCATCTGGCTACTGGTCAACACGTATTTGTCAGGCATCTTTAAGCTCATTTGATCTGGGTTCCAGTTTGGTTATGATAACAGAGATGTTGGTAATAGCCGTGTACAATCAATAGTCTCTTTATGTATGCGTTTGTTCTGTAAGGATTATTCATATCATAGCAATGAGTGTAAATATTTGTAACTGTTTTACAAATCATACAATGAATATTCATTATAATTGACGTGAAGACATATGAAGTGTATTCACAATTAATGTGTTGACTGCGTGTTCTGATGTCAACAAAACTGTTGGATTTCTATTGATTTTTGTCAAAGTATGACCATTTGTCAGAAGATGAGTTTCAATCAAACAGTCGGAAATGGAAATAGATATAAGAAGAGATGAAATCCATTACACGGTCATAAGGCAAGATAAGGCAGGAGGGAACTGTCTCAAAAACAAACAGTGGGGGAACTGTCTCAAACACAAACAGTGGGGGAACTGTCTCAATCACAAACAGTGTGGGAACTGTCTCAATCACAAACAGTGTGGGAACTGTCTCAAACACAAACAGTGTGGGAACTGTCTCAATCACAAACAGTGGGGGAACTGTCTCAATCACAAACAGTGGGGGAACTGTCTCAAACACAAACAGTGTGGGAACTGTCTCAATCACAAACAGTGTGGGAACTGTCTCAATCACAAACAGTGTGGGAACTGTCTCAATCACAAACAGTGGAGGAACTGTCTCAGTCACAAACAGTGGGGAACTGTCTCAGTCACAAACAGTGGGGGAACTGTCTCAGTCACAAACAGTGGGGGAACTGTCTCAATCACTAACAGGGGGGGGGGAACTGTCTCAATCACAAACATTGGTTGATAAGACCTGTGGGGGACTGTCTCAGTCACAAACTGTGGTTGATAAGACTCATACACAGAATAAGAGAGAAAGTGTGACAAGAAAACCATAAGTGTAGAATATTTAAGTTTCCTGCTGAAGATCTTATGACTTTGAATCAGTTTCATTCATCTTTAATGTAAATCTTCCAAGTGAATATCCCAATCCAGATATGACAAAGTGGTAGTAAGGTTAAGGTCACACAACCTGAGGTCACAAAGCCAGAGGTCAATGGAACCTGAGCTCAAGTATTTACTCTGCTTTTTATAGATCGTGTGTAGAATTCTGCGCTGGAAGACATGGATGTAAGGTAGTGGAAGAATCTCTTGGTCACCAATGTCAAACAGTTAATGTCGCCCCAGCTTCATCAACACTCAGATATATTTAGGCTGTAGCCAGATGTGAGTAGGTGGTGTTAACAATCAACAGTAAGGAAGGAGAGGGGGGAGGGGGGATCTTGAGGTGGCAATCCGATGTGTCACCACAATGGGGTGATTGGTTATTGTAAAGTGGTCCTTCATGTGTGCTTCCATGTATTAACACCATCCTCACACTACTAGGAATTTATATCTATTACAGCTACTGTGTTTTTATGTCCCCACAGTGTTACCCAGAGTCAGTCAATGGTTTCTTTACCCAAATCACTGTCACATCGCTCCAGCAAGATCATATCTTTCAGAATTTTGATAAAACTTTATACAAAGGTCAAATCTGGCAACACCTCAGAGTATTGAAATTGTGACAGACACTACAGCGTTGGTGAAATTTGAATATGGACAGACACAATAGTTGATTAGAAATGGAAAGATAGACAGACACAAGAGTCAAGTGGAAACTAAATATGGACAGACACAAGAGTCAAGTGGAAACTAAATATGGACAGACACAAGAGTCAAGTGGAAACTAAATATGGACAGACACAAGAGTCAGGTGGAAATGTGAATTTGGACAGACACAGTATCTGAATAGATATAGGAACAGACAGACACAACATTAGATAACATTGACTTGAAGTATTAGGATCTATTCTATAGAGAAATCCTAGTATGATGTTGAAATATGGTGTCCAGTTGTCAGTGTAATAGAGTGGATATTTTCCACCATCCTTCTCCTTCCATAGCCCTCCAACTTGTGTTAAGTAACATCCACCAACCTTCTCCTTCCATAGCCCTCCAACTTGTGTTAAGTAACACCCACCAACCTTCTCCTTCCATAGCCCTCCAACTTGTGTTAAGTAACACCCACCAACCTTCTCCTTCCATAGCCCTCCAACTTGTGTTAAGTAACACCCACCAACCTTCTCCTTCCATAGCCTTCCAACTTGTGTTAAGTAACACCCACCAACCTTCTCCTTCCATAGTCCTCCAACTTGTGTTAAGTAACACCCACCAACCTTCTCCTTCCATAGCCCTCCAACTTGTGTTAAGTAACACCCACCAACCTTCTCCTTCCATAGTCCTCCAACTTATGTTAAGTAGCACTCACCAACCTTCATGGGGAGACAGAACCAGCATCTGTACTAAACCTACCTATAAATGGCTTTCCAGGCCGATATTGAACGAGACAGTCTCAATCCATAACAAAAATTGTTACATAGAACGAAACCAAATTTCCCAATTGATCGGGAGTCTAGTACAGATCGTTACAGCATTCTAACTACCTGCATTTGTACATTGATTTTCAGGGTTTAATTACATGCTTTCGATACAAAGGCAAATATGTTGTGAAATCAGTGTTTTTGTCTTTGAACACAGGAGTTGGTGATGAACAGCAAGGTTCTATGCATGATCGTGATGGGGGTTTGAGTAAAAAATGCTCTACTTTGTGTAAAAAAATAGTTTTATTTCTAGCCAATGACTCCTTAGAAAGCTTTGAAAGTTTTTTCTCTCACAAAAATCTCTTCTTCAGAAAACTGAAAATAGGAAAATAGACACAAATGCTTATTGAACTTGGCTTTCTAAATTAGCACTGTCCTAATTCTTCTTAGTCAGTGTTTGCAATTTACCTTTAATTGTATTTAAAGCTAATTTCCTCTTCTTTCTCCATAATTAGCAACAAAACACATAGACGTAAGTGCTATTGTCCCTGCTGTAGAAATTGGTCCTGGTCAGAAAAAATAAAACAAAAGAAATTTGTGTTCTTTTTGTACATACATAACGTTGGAGTTTAAAAACTGAACATATTATGTGGGCTCTGTGAAAATTACAGCTTAGAATAGGTTTCTGTTTCTAGAAAGACAATCTTTCAATCAAAATGGAAGTCTGTCTTCCATATACAGTAAAACCCTGATCTATCGCCATCAGTTAAACAGCCACCCTCTCCTGTCGCCGTGTTTCTTCGTGGAACAGATTTCCCCCCTATTAAACACCCTCGTTTAAACGCCAAACTCGCATACCACCATCCACCATATCATCTTGAGAACAAATGTGCTAAATCCCCTTTGTTATGTTTCTATATCACAATATTCACCGTCTTAGTTTCAAATCCAAATTCAATATTAATACATCTACGCCTAAAAGAAAACGTGTCCTACAGAGTCGGACATTGGAGCATGCCTGTCTCTGCAAAAAACTGTGGATCAGATCGCCACAGAAACGTTGATTCAGCGGCCGATACACAGTTTTTTCCAGAGACTCACAAGTAAGTGATGCATGATCCAATGTATGACAATGTTTCATGGTTGCACCAGGATACAGGTCATAGATCTGATGTTTATATATTGTGACTGTCATTGACGAATGACGTAACTTTGTCCTAATTATATATTTTATATTGTACCCTAGCACAGACGTGCTTTTCATATACATTGTTTCGATTTATAGTGTTTCAATAAACACTTTCTGTATACTGTATATTGATGTTTGTCATTTTGTTAACATTTTACTTATGAAAGATCACCTGATGATCAGCTCCTTGTTAAACCGCCACCCTCGATATACCGCCAGAAATGGACTGGAACGGAAGATGGCGGTTTAACGAGGTTTTACTGTATAAGTTGATTTTAGTAATAAATCTGGTCTTTGATGTTTGATGTTGATTACTAGAGTTACCATAACTGTTCACAACATGGTAAAACCTAACATACAAAATTATTAGAATGGCTAATGTCAAAATTCTAGGAAACTTTATCATTTTCTTGGAAGTTGCTTGTTGATGTTCAGTCGATGGTTTCAAAATGTACCAAACTTGTGTAAGTAGTTGATTACAAGGGTGTATAAAAACAACTTGTGTATCCCATAAAGTCATTTACATTACAACACGTCAGCCATAAGTTGTAAAACGTCTATAGTATAGCCAGGAATTCTGTTCCACTGTTTTTCTAACATTACCTGTCTATTGTCTAATGGTTGGATGGGAAGTTAAACATCCAATTTTTGCTAGGTGTAGAAAAAAAAATGTGGTGAAGATGAGAAACATGTGATGGTATCTCTGTAGGATGAGTGTAGAGGCTGTTTGTGGGAGGGGGCTGGAAGGGATGGAGGGGGAGGGATCACTGGGTACTGCATCAGAGAGATCCCTGATGTCTAAAACAGCTGTTTCGGTGTTACTATATGTCCAACAGACATAAGAAAGGGAGATAAGTATTTCTCTTTAACTTAAGTAGCCAAACAGATCAGATTGTTTTCTCAGAGAGATTTATTGTATCTTGCGTAAATCCAGCATCTGAGAAATTGTTTTGTTTCTGCATCGCTTAATACATCTCGGTGTATGCTGTGCTATCAGGATGTTTCTAATTAAACCAATCAGGGATGTTTGAGTTATGCACTATAAATATTTACGTTGTATGTT